TTATCATTATTATTATTATCAGGTGTGTGATGCTACTTGAAGATCTCCTCGCCACATGTCTCCATTTACTTCTGCATACTTTTTCGTCCATTCATGGGTTGACGACTGGTTCTCTTTGTTGCTTATCCTTTATCCATATAAAGTCATTAAACGTATGACCAAATTTTTCGTCCCACACTTAAACGCCCGCGAAGACTCTCTTAGTATCCATCGTCTGGTACTGGCCTTAATAGAAGGTGATCGCATGAACCATGAACTAGCCGTTCTGAATAAAACACAGCTGACTGAATGCTCGTTAGTGCTCGAAGAATCAAGCATCACTGCTCAGGCAACCGAAGCCTCTGGTGAGACTCAGAATAAAAGTTATTCTGAACAAACCGTGAGGTTATCAGAGCACCTGCATACTTATCTTGCAGAATATGACAATCGTTTCCCACTCTATTTTAAAAAAAGCAGTCTGTTCTGTTCATGGTATTTTTTATGAATATAAATTATTTTTCAATGCATCCTGCACCACTAATTAAATGTATCTTTTTATTTCTGTACATGTAACACTAACTGCTTAAAACAATTTTTCATACATTATACGTTAGTCCCAATTCAACAGTTATTTTTGGTCAACATTTCTCGATAAGGTTCTAAGACTTCTTGTTTTCTTTTCCAGATGCGACATGTAAACAATGAAAGAAACTCAACAGGTGAATATCAATGAAGCAATGTACATGTACCACAGCAGAATAGAAAAATGACCAGTAGGCATCTTATTGCTGTCACACCTGTGTTGGACCTTTTACTCTGTTAGCTTAGTTACCCAAATTCAAATAGAAAATAAAATACCAAATCAGTTTAGTTACGGGAAGAATATATTAAAGTCTTGTAACTTGGGTTTACAAAGATCCAAAATCCACAATAAACGTTATAGACTCCAGGGTTGCTGCGGGAAGACTGCTCCAGTACTAATTCTCCAATGTTGACGTTGTTGGAGGTCGACCAAAGTAAGTAGGAAGAAACTACGGTGCTCCTACAAAAATTTGAGATAGAAAGCAGGTGATTAAAATTGATCGACGGCAGTTGAGATGGTGGAGAAGACGGAGAGTCGGAGTCAGAACTATATATTTATTCAAAACCCGAGGTAAAGTTCAAAGTACTGAGTTTATGGTTAAAACAAAGTAGTATACAATATGTTCATTTCTTACATAGTAGTAAAATTTGGATAAGTTTATTTTTGAGGACTCCACATGGCTCCCCCTCTTAGAGGTCCGGAGGACCATCAGTACTGTCCTCGTGGACGATTACGTGAATATAAGCAATATAAATAATGGATAATGTCAACAATAAGGATAACAAAAAATAACAGCAACAATGATAAGGATACAAAGTTTGATTAGGATGTATGGAATGCATCCGTGTCGTATAAAGTTTAGCACATGCATGCATGATTCAGGAATTTTAAAAAAATCAAAACTTGTTAAAATTTTAAATAAAAAATTTATGTACATAATAAACCATGACATGTTCGTTGACATTTGTGAAATTCATATATAAATAGATATATACATATACCTGGTGAATGTGTGTGGTTGCAGTACAGTTAACAAACAGCAAACAATAATACTAATAAATATTAATGGTTATAATGAAATGAATGTCGACAACAATAGTAATGAGAAGAATGTCTAAATGAGGTTAACGTTTATGTCAGTCAATGAAATGAACATAGCGGACAGGTTTACAGATCTGCCGTCCACTGTGTGTCTGTACAGAGGGAAGTGTGAAGAGCGGGAGAGTTGGAGTTGCGTTGACTTTCTCATTGTTTATTGGTGCAGGTGTTGCTAGTGTTTCATATTCGCTGTTGGTGTACGCTGGTTTAAGACGATCAATAGAAACAGTCTCCGGTTTACCATTGTCAATGTAGTTGAAGATTGAACGATCAATTCATGGTTGTTTGTTCAAAACCAACTTCCCCAATTTTCGCGGAGGCATCAATATGATAGTCATCGTCTCATCGTTCGGTGTTCAGAAAGAAGTCAGCAGAAAACCGTCAGAAGTAACATTGTGATTTATTATTGTAATATTTGTTCACAGACCTTAGTTGTAACAGTGTTTATATGTTGGTGTAACAATAAAGAATCCTCGAGTCGCCAATTGGTGTTTTGGTTTTTTCGTCCGTTATTACTAAGCGTTTCTGAACTTGATATTTTCAACGAAAATCCTACCATACCTGTCAGTAAACTGAAAATAATTGTTCAGCAGTCAAGTACTGGAGTAACCATGACTTTATACTAACGAACTATAGCCTCGATGGTGTGCAGTTTTCAGTGATGCAGACGCGTGAGTCTCCTGCATTTAGAAAAAGTGAAGTGTACATACTCTGTAAGCATGAAAGTAATTAATGCCTAAGTGCTTTTGGAGTTACTAAGTCAAAGAATTACAAACTTTCTAGCCTTATGTGGCAGTTGATAGGCACAGTTCCGGTTACGCTGCCTGTTCATGTCTTGTTGAGTAGGTGTGAGTCCCTCTTCCGGATTAGAATAAGCAGAGCTGAAAACATTATTTCAGTCATCAGCAAAGAGATGTCACACAGCATAAGTCATTAATACAAAGTCCGCTACCTTCACACTAATTCGGACCACTGCACATCGTGTGGGTTTAGATAAACAGTAAGTATCGAGGAAATTCAGTACTAAGGGGTGGCCTTCCAAGGAGTTCAACGAAGATAAAAGAAGCCTAACCACTTCAGCTTTAGAATCAACAGTCTGATCAACATCTCATTTGAGGAAAGTTACAATTTCATCGAAAACCTCATAGTTTCGATATTAAGACCAATATGGTCAGCATGAAACATCACAAGTATACATTAACATTCTAGTGTGCTTTTAATGATACGTTACATTTAATTCTGTTTCATCCCACTTCTTGGTTTCTCAGAACAATTTCTTCTCACTGAGATAGCTTTCAGTCACGCGTGGATCTACCACTTACCCGAATATTGGTTGGTTTCAGGTTAATCACGAGCATTACAAAACCCCGACGACAACCTACGTGATGACCTAACAATTCAACACTTATATGGAAGTGTTATGATAGCTTGCACTGTAATTCAACTAACAAAACTAACGATATTTCAAGCCTGCAGTTCAAATTGTGCTTGATCGTGCCTCTAAACATGGGGTGCATTTCATGTAAAGTTTTTTTCTGTATGAAAAATATACTGTTGGTATGACATTCGAACCACATGGGGACATCTACGCCCATTTAGTTATATGCCTTATTGAGAGGCACAATGCAAAACAACTCATCTTAAAGTATCCTGGTATATGTCGTGACAAACACACATCATGAACTTGGAAATGCTGGCCCATATGGGGCAGAAGCTGAGCTACGGTGACTGTTTTGATGGCTGCTGCAACATTGCAAGGGTGTCTGCGGAACTTGCGGAATATGTGCACACACCAAATCGACAAATCATAACGATAATAATGTTAATGACAGGACTACACTAACTTGTCGGAATTGATATCATGGGATCGTTACCAGCAACAAAAAATGGTAACTAATACATTCTGGTCATCGTCAAATATTTTACCGAGTGGTTCGACGCGATACCCCATTTCAAGACGCGATTACTGCGGTAAAATTGTTCTCCAATTGATTAGTAGTGCAGTATGTAACTTCCAAGGCGTTGCATTCCAATCAGGCAGTGGTTTCTGAAAGTCTGTTGGCTCTCAACTGAGGAGGTAGACACCACCATGTATCATCCAAAGGGGAATGGCTAAAGATAGCGTGCAAGCACAATGATCGGAGGAATAATCCATGCTTTTGTCAGTCGCACGTCAAGCGATTGCTTGGACAAAGCTCTGCTACAATGTTTAGTCTCACATGAAGCTTCTGCGCATTCATCGAAAGGCTTTTCTCTGGGTTTTTATTTTTTTGGTTGTGAGCTACGCTTACATTGTGACATTCGGACAGCACTTCCCCCTAAGAGGGTGTGGAATACACACCATACCTTTGGGAGAATAAAGCAGCCAAATATAGAATTGTGCGCAAACATACAAAATCTGCTAATGATCGTCAGAATACCAATCCGGATCGACTAGACTACAGATATGTATGCTGGGAGGGGGCTGCATCTGGCTGCACTGACCACATCCACGCAAAGACAGTTCAGTAAGTTTGTTGTCCAAAGGTAGGGACCTTACGAGGCCATCCGCAAACGTCCCCCCGTCACTTATTTTGAACAACATCTGTAGTGGCTAGAAGAAGTTCTCGAGGCGCAGTTTAATTATCTGAAGCTAGCGCATCACTCAACTATATCGAACTCCGACACGCTCTCGGTGGATTGCGGATTTCCAGCAGGTTGAGAATTGGCTTATTCGATTCTGCATACAGTCACTGGGACAGTGCGTTCTCTCTCAGGAAGGTACAGTTGTAACACTTGTGAAATCAATATATGTGCTTCATAGTTTTGCTATAATGACATTTCTTTCTTTTATTTTGTAGATACGGGCCTAGTGAATGTAGTGGACCAATTGTCGAACGGTGTAGAGGGATTGAACATAAATAATTAAACACTGAATCTGCGTTCTTAAGTCTGTATTTCTTGTTATGATAACACACTATCTTGCCTCTTTTCTGGGCTTGGTTACTGTCTTATATACCTTATTGTGTGGTGTCTGGCGTTTGGTCGGTGTTCACTCCTCCCTGTTAAACAGATGAAAATGCTGCCTTAGCTTCAGTCGTTCTAGCAAGTTATAATTATGCTTATTTAGTTTGATGGCTTTATTTTAGGCCTAGGTTTGTTTTGGTGCCTTTGAAAGTGCAGTACACATTTGGCGTTAATGTGTGATGTTGAAATCAGAAATTAAGGTTGAAAATTCCTGCTTATAAAAGCTGAAGCTGAGTGTGTTTTAATGCACCAATCGCAAAATTGTAACCTAGTCAAAGGCTGCGACTGTTTCGAACAGAAGTCGTGACTTGAAAGGTTTCGTAACCGAGCGAAGATGGACGACTTTATACTAAATATATGTAATGTTAAGCCACAAAAACTGAGTGAAAGCAAAAATTCAAAAGTAGTTTCGGAATATCATTTATCTCATATCGTATAGAGTCCAGCAGCGAACAGTCACAAGAAGCATGCAATGCCATCTGCCCCTACGTTGGTGCCAACGCCCTTGGAAACTAAAGTCAAGAGGGAACCTGCAGAAAGATCTAGCAAAGGTGAACTGTATAGCGATTCAGATCCTCAGGAAAAGTTGATTCGAAGCAAAAATTCTTTGCAGTTTGGTATCGATAACAAGATGTCAGCGAAAAGCAAGGAGCTAAATGAAATGATGAGGTAAATCGAAATTTTTCTGAGTGGAACACAGGGCTTCAAGCTAGAGGCTTGGAGTTTCTTCAGCAGTGTTCATTTTTACAGGATGAGGTAGCTAGCCTTATGCCCAAGCTTTCCTCTTTACCAACTTTTAATACTGGTTTGGCGAGGTAAAGGGTTGCATCAGTCGGGGATCGAACCCCGAACCATGTGCATCCCTGGCGAGTGTGCTAACCACTATGCCACCGACGCACAAGTAAATCGAATCACACTATAGAATTTATAATGTCCGATAAGGTATCGATTTCTGTTAAAGTAATCCAAGTCCGGAATTCTTTTATGATATGTTGCTGTGATCTTCCTAACAGGATCGCAGTAACAACTGCTGCAATACCAACAGATTTTTGTCAGTCCGGAATAACAAGATGACTCTTGTTTATTGCCTAGCTAAGTTATACTTTCAATTTCTCATCTGCTTTATTTCCCGTACAATAATAATTTTGTAACTAACTTAATAAGTTAGTGTGCCTCGCTTGTCGTTACACTGACCTGCTAACTGCCTGGTATTTTACAATTTCATTCAGTTCCTTCTCTGAATTCCGATTTAGTGTACCATTTGTTGACATATAGTGGTTCGAGAGTGAATGTAGTAGTGCAGGCAATATATCTAAAATAGCGTACGGAGGAAATGTACCTAGATTCAGCGTTTTCGCATTGCATCCATAGAGATACCATCATAGGAAACTCTGTGTTCTCACACGTTTGTCAATTTGGGAATGTATACATGTTTAGCTGTTCCTATAACTAATGTGACTACCCTTTTTTGGTCCCGCTTTCTCACATCTTTTGGAAATATGTTTACGATTAGTATCACCACAGAACTGGAGAGAGAGAGTCTTAAGTGTGTTTTATTCTAATAGGACTAAAATAGTCGTTCTTTATTAGTAGTTTAATTGTTACTGCTATAATATAAGATACACTCGTTACAAAGTACGTATTGTACCCCTCAGATTTTGATGTAATCTTTCTTGTAGTCATCCTGTGAAACCGAAAATAGAACCAGTTTTTTCGCTTAAACATTGGAAGGATGTATGTGAATCACTGGAAATCCACTCACATTTAACTGCTTGTCTACTTGAGCGGTTCAAACTGGATTACCTGACCGCCATTCAAGAAGCTGCACTCCCTCCCTTAGCCAGTGGAAAAGATGTCTTGGTGCGTGCCCAGACAGGTTCAGGAAAGACTCTTGCATATGCTGTGCCACTGTTCAACCGACTAATCAGCTTAGATCCTCCTGTTGAACGCAAAGATGGACCGCTGGGACTAATAATACTTCCTTCAAGAGAGTTAGCAACACAAACATACGATGTCTTCAAAATGCTATCACAGGCGTGTGTACGCATTGTTCCAGGATTGCTGATCGGAGGGATGAAACGCAAGTCACAGAAAGCAAGGTGTGTTTATGTTAGTAAGTCAGTTCTATATACAAATTTAGATCATTTCAACTCTATATTTTAGCTAATAACTGTGAATTTAATATGCACAGGAAGTCTAGTAGAAGTTAAACATACTAAATTCATTTTAAGCTTCTGTATATCTACATCACAAATGTCTACTTAGTACGTGTACTACCAAATCTTGAAATTTCGCATGACTAATACACTTATGAGTTACTGACCTTGCAGAATAGTCTTTCCCAGTCAAATAAGTGTTTATTGACAATCTCTCAATTAATCTATAAACAGGTTATTCCTAAAGTAAGGGTCCTTCAAACACTGAGGTTGCAGAAGCCGTCTAGCGGTTGGAAAAGATTTAGGGGTAGTTATTCAAAACCTGACGTGAATCCAAAAAGTTTCAATGCTGCATTGAATAACGTAAACAGTTGTAGCCAACATAAAGTGAGTGAATATGGTTAGTGACATGGCTCAAAATCGTTTTTAATAGCGTACAAGAGTTCACTCTTTATTATGTCCGTGATCCATCGAATCCTCATTATTAACCATGTGACTATTCCTCCTCCCGCACATTCTCATTCATTACAGTTCCTAGAATTCCCTCCTGTATCTCTGAGCTATATGGAGTGTACCAACTTGAAGTCCTACGTCGAAGTCCTCATCTACCTCCAAATATAACGCCATGCATTCGTAATACACCTAGGTGATTCACCCATAGTTACGTCCTTCGAGCCGGTCGGTTTAATTAAGATTTCATTGACCTGATGGACAACATTCTCAGCGCATACTTCAATTGAAATTCCTCAAAAGTCTACCAATCATCCGTCCTGGTAACTTTGGACGTGAGTGGTTGCTTATGCGTACGTTCCTACCCTCCAGTCTACTTGTATTGGTATTGACCAGAAAGTTGTTGGCCTTTTGTTCATGTCACCCCACTCCATTTTCATGCATTGGTAAATCGTCTCTACATCAATCAATGTGTCTGTTGATTGCAGATTCATCTGAATACCAGGCTTCTAGAAATTCCTTTGCGTATTATGATATTTCCTCTGTCTAGTACATTCTTTTGTACATTCTTCCAATAGAATTGGTGTTTGTGGTTGTCTGCATGCATTGATGTAAGAGAACGGATATCGTGTCTTTTGACGACCATTTCATGCTCACAGATGTGAGTATTATATACTTTAGTTGAACAGAAACTAGCAAAAGAAACCATGAGACAATTACTCAGTAACGGTGAATACAACACTCAACTTAAATGAAATCCATAAATCTATGTCTAACAACGTGTTTTCAGTTCAATCGCGAAATATGTGAACAAATAAAAGGGACACCTATGGGATGGCCCATATCTGGACTGACTGCAGGAGCTGTTATGTAAAGACTTGTAAACATAAACGTAACACAAATTAATCTCGAAATTTGGATAGGTTGTGTGGATGACATATCCGTGATAATCAGATGAAACGGTTTAGAAAACACTCACAACCTAATCAACATCTTCAACGACATCAAACTTACAAGAGAAGAAGGATCCGAAGATAAGATTCCACTTTCAGACGTCTTAGTCGAACGAACAACTACAGGAAAATTAGAAACTCAGGTATACAGAAAATCAACTCGCACAAATATAATACTCAACTACAACAGCGACCACCCAACAGCACACAAAATGAATTGCATACAAAAATTATTCAAAAGAGCCAGGACGCATCGCAGCACTCCTGCCTTGAGGAGAATGGAAGAAAAATATCTTATGGTCGTCTTCCAAAAAAGATGGATATCCACGAAACTTCGTCAAATCCACCTACCCTTTAGCCAACCCAACCATATGAAATATGTCCAATGAAATGACAGAGAAAATTGTCCCATCATGTATGAAGAACATCTCCCAAGTCACTGCAAGACTATTCAAACTGTTTGAAATCGATATCGCCCACAAACTAAGAAAATCACTACAATTGACTCTATGCCAACCAAACGACACAAAAGTGAAAAAAAATGAAACTAGCATCATCTACAAGATAAATTGCAACAACTGTGAAGAACATTAGATTGGTCAGAATGGGCACCCTCTTCGTATTCACATCCGTGAGCGTGAAATGGTCGTCAAAAGACACGATATCCGTTCTTTTATATCAATGCATGCGGACAACCACAGACAGCAATTCTACTGATACAAGCCTCAGATGGAGACATCGTCAATCACTGAAAAGTAGGTACACCCAGATGAATCACAGGTAGGTTGAAGCGAATGTCGTGTATTCTACTGCTAGTCGCCAATAAGTCAGTCATTCTCGCTGGTTTGGTTAACTAACATATAGATGTTTAGTAAATCCAATTTATATCATTTTATGTTGGCATATTGTTTTCTCATAACTTGTTTTCTCTCCGAGTTTCAGCCTAAGAAAAGGTATAAACATTGTAATCGGTACGCCAAAGCGTATTTTGGATCATATTGGGCATACTACTACGCTTAGTCTTCAAGGAATACAATGGTTGGTAATAGATGAAGCCGATCGTCTATTGGAAATGGGATTTGAGCGAGATGTCACACGGATTGTTCAACAGTTGATGCAACGGCCTAATTCTTTTGAAGCAGACCATAAAACTCAAACTGTCCTTTTGTCAGCAACATTATCTCCCGGTAAATTTAGTAGTTTGTTGCCCCACATATTTTTTTGTTATACTACGTTTGGAAAAAAGGCTTACGGATCGCAGTAAATATTAATAAAGTAAAAAAACATACTTAATGAGTTTCACGCTTTCCTTTCCTTAAATCTACACAGCAGTGTTGATAGGATAAGTGGATTTTTAAAGTCTGATAACTTTTATTGATAGTTTAGAATGATTAGATTAAAACTAATATCTTTTTATTTGTGTACTCGTTGAGAGGTGTAGAAGTTTTAGATGGCCGTCTGGTTTTTTCTATTCCTTTGCGTTCCTGTTGGGACATACGGTTTCTGGATTGAGTTTCGAAGTTTCAGTAGCAGTGGTGTTATTTTTTACGGGGTGAGGTTGCTATCCCTGCCCCTAACTTTTCCAGTTAAACGAACCAACTACCGGCTAAGCGAGGTATAGGAGACTGTCTTTGCGGTGACCGAACCCGGATCACGTACGTGGTTGGTGAGTATTCCATCGCTGAACCACCTGGGCACATGTGCTACCTCACCTGGAGTCGAACTCGGGTTGTCTGAATGAAAGCCAGGAATCCTAACCTCTATCTCTGTCTATATATATGTTTATATTTGAAATGTCTTTGCACCATATAATATTTACGTAATATCTGTTTTTCTATTTGTTTGAAGGAGTTGAAGCCCTTGCTGGTCTAACTTTAAAGAATCCTGTTCGTTGTGTGGTAGGGGAAAGTGAAACTAAGTCTGCAGATACTGAAATGCATGCGTTGACAAGTTCAAGAAATGGACTTAGTTCTGAAGTTGTTGACAATGTAGCTGAATTCGCTTTACCCGCCGGATTAAAGCATTTTGTATTAATTGTGCCATGGAAATTACGACTTGTTTCACTGGCAGCTTTTTTGTTACTCAAATGTAAAGTAAGTAATCGTATTCGCTTTCAAGATGCACTTTATTTAATTTAATGTACAACACTTTATCATAAGAGGAGTTGTAAGGGGAGATCCCATGACTACCTACATCTCGTAGCAAATAAGTCCACAGTGATTGCTATAATATATATATATATATATATATATATATATATATAAACTGAAATGTGCCAATCTTAAGTGTTTGTGTCGAATAACGAATAATAATGCATTTTTTATCATTCCATTTTAAGCTGTTCAACCAGTGACTTTTCTACTGAAAGTCTGCTCTACTTTTCTTGACCTAGGTAACTACATGGTATGATGAAGCTTTACATATTAAATGTTACTCATAGTTTCGTACATAAACTCTCTGCCAGTTAAACGAGTTGCATTCGTATGTAAAGTTTAATATTTGATAACTAATAGATTCCTTTCCAATATATATTCAAATTTTTACGCAAGAAATAAGTCACTATTCTCTTACTCAAGTATTATCAACAAAATTTGAGATTCTTGTAGCAGGGAAGTATTTATTTGCTAACCAAGCATATATGCATAAAACGTGATGAAAGGTGAACGTGAGCCGTCACCATTTCAATTTCACTTTCAGACGAAAACGTAACTTACAACAACTAGCTAGTTCACATGGCCCCACTATCATTGACGGCATAGAGGTTGAAAATACATCTAATGTCAAGTACCTTGGGCTGAGTTTTTCCACTGATCTTTCCTGGTCCTCCCATATCATGCTAGTTACTAGAAAGATGTTTCGCTTAACGTTCTACATTAGGAAATTTAGGCAGTCTGGCATAAAGCAGTTTTTGCTTTCTCAGTTTGTCAATTCTTGTATTCTATCCATCCCTCTTTACTGCTCCCCATTAATCTTTCCTGGACTACTTAAGAAAGACTTTGCTTTGCTGAGAAGGACACTAAAAGCCGTTAGTGGGGCAAGTGGGATATCGTTAAACCAACTGGTTAACACTATTGTGATAGACATATTATGCCATGTAAGAAACTAGCGAATACAATATTGTCGGACCCCGAGCATCCTCTCTATACGCAGCTGTCTCCTTGCATTTCATGTGGTGGAACTAGAAGCAGCTATGGGTGGCTATATGCTAGGACTACCAAATACAAAAACTCCACAATACCATATCTGGCACAGCTGTTATGTGATGAGAAATCCGTTAGGTATGAAACGATCAACTTACTGTGGCACTCTAACAAATAGTCCCAATAGTTTTTGTTTTCCTTTCCTCGTTACTATTACACTGTTATTCTCATATTCTATTACACACTAATTTTATATTACATATCCTGTGGTGTATTGTTTAAAATTTAAACACAACGCTGTTGTTTTTATTTTTTTTTTTAATTATCTTTTGTTTGCGTTGCTTTTTGATGTTAAAATCTTATAAAATAATGAGGTAATTAGGTGCAATATATTGTAATGCACGCTGAAAATTCCATACCTGTACCACAAATACTGTTTGGAATAAAGCTATTATTATTATGTTGAACAAACTGTTGATGCTGTTTATTTTGATTGCATATTGAACATGACACCATAAATTAAGGATCTTGTTTAAACAAAACGTGTTGCTGATTAGATTCAACTACGCATTCCCTAAGTGGAAATATTGAGCATTCTATTGGACATTTCGTCAGGAGAAAAGTTCTTCACCGTTGCCGTCGGTTGGCGATTGTGCTATATATCGCTAATTGTCAGGAATTCATTGGCCATTGTATTGGGTCACTGTGGCGTAATGATCTGTGAGCTCACCTCGTAACCACAAAGGTCCTGGGTTCACACCCCAGCAGGTGCGTACTTCTGAAAAGTCCCAAACTAGGACGAAACAGCTGTTCAGTACTCCTTGATTTTCCAGTGGTTCTACAGCTGAAATCAGTTTATGATCAAACCTACAACTGGTCGACTCCCTGCAAACCAATACTTGAAAATATAGAGTTTTTAGAGACTATCACTAGTGTTCCTGGTCCAATATTGTAATGCTTGCCAGCCATATAACTTGTCCAGGTTCAATTCCCGGCCTAAACATCGCAATTTTTTACTCGCTGAGGAAAAAAGAAGGTTGAATGTGAGACTAGAAATCCTACCGCGTGGAAGAAATCACCATTGGCGAGACTTCAACACCTTGAAGCTCTATACTCGACTCGGAATACAAGGAATGAGAAAAAGCAGCTGTTACTACAATCACTATCGGTCATGCACAAATAAGTATTTGGTGAATGCTGAACATGCGAACCGCCTACTCTTATGAATTCTTTGCGAAGTCGTTCAAACTACTGTCTTTTTTATAAATTCAAAAGTCTGTAACTCGAAGGGAGTTGTCTGGATTTCAGTGGTTCTCTAATTCTTGCAAACTAACACAATTGCCACTAAGTACTTGTTTAGTTCACCAGTCGTTACAAGATCTTGTGTTTTATTCACAATGTGTTTATGTATGGTATTAAAATTCCTACGGGGGGATGCTAACTGAAAATGTGAAAATGTTTGTTTTTTCTTCCGTACTTTTTTTAGTATCATAAAGTCGGTGGGAAGCTGATTGTTTTTATGGCAACACAAGATTGTGTTGATTTTCACTATTATCTCTTCAAAGCAGTATTGTGCGATGAATCTGAAGAACTTATTTCCAATATACCTGTGGTAAATCTTTCAGTTCATCGACTTCATGGTAATATGGAACATAAAGTAAGTCTTAAGAAAGAAATATATTTCCTGTAGAGTGTAAATACAGTTACGTTGTCTTAACCGTTTTTCTGGATGACAGACTTACTTTTAAACAAGGGTCACATGAAGCTAATCATTGATAATTACGTATCATTTGAGTAGCCATTATAAAGGGAATTTACCGTAGAGTGAAGATAATATATTGATTTCAGTGATTTCTCTGACTAATGTCAGCTTTTCACGAGATCATCTACGCTGATGATAATCAAAATCAAACCAAAAAAAATTGCAAAACAATTTCCTGCTCATTAGTGGTTACAGAATGGATGTCGTGAGGTGTATCTGATGGGGTTCATTATTTCTGGTTTGTAGCTGATGGTCTTTTATGGTATTGGTTGTCGATAGTGCGATATTGCTAACTGACAGAATTTATAATTTGTGGGTCATTAAATTCCAAGCAAGTGAGTGGCTCACCAAGTAAGTGGCCTCGTAACCTAAAAGTCCTGGGTTCAATTCCTAATTTCGCAATACTGAAGAGTCGGTGACTGAGACAAAGGAATTGCCCAGTGCTCTTTGGTTCTCAATGATTCTCTAACTGATATTGTTTCGTGACAAAATCTAGATTGAAACAAGTCGAAATCCCTAGAAAACTAAAAAACGACTCAGGATTCTGGTAATGTTGTTATTATTGTGTTTGAAGGAATGAAGAGCTAAAAGAGTTTGTTTTTACTGATATTCGTTTCACCACTGTGCGTCGGTGGCACAATGGTTAGGACTTTCGCCGACCATGCACATGGTCCGGGGTTCGAGCCCGCACCGACGCACACCTGATATCTGTGGTTGGCCTGCAAAATTTGGGCTACCGATATCCATGCTGAAAATTCCATACTTGTACCAAAAATACAGTGTAGAATCAAGCTGTAAATAAAAATAAATAAATAAAATAAACCGGAAAATAAGATTTCCCAACTTACAATCATTCTGCACCAATAGAGAAAACCTTAAAAGTGATATTATGGGTTTACTACCGACTCGTTCGTAGGGTGTCCGGCTACATTTTTTGTCCACAGCATAAGCGCTTGCTATATTATTATTATTACATTATTATATCCTTTAATTTCTAGAGGAACATAGGGCTTCAGCTGCGCGTCTCCATTGCCTTCGGTTTTCTGCAAACTTTTTCACCCCGCTCCAAGTCTGCCCACATGCTTTCATCTCCTCTTCACATGTGACCTCCTCCAAGTCACCCTTGGACGACCAACTAGCCGCTTCCCTTTCAGGTTCCGCTCAAGGGTTTGCTATATACACAAGGAAAACCCTGAACCTTGTATACAGCAGCGGTTTATCTGACCTCTGTAACTACCGTGGCCTGAAACGGTTTTCTTTAGCTTGTGCAATATTTTTTTATTTAATCCATATATCCATTCTTTTATTTTCTGTCTCTTCTTTTCTTTCAAACTCCGAACTCTAAAATATACTTCTTTTGAACCTCTTACTCTGATGAACAATACTTCTGGTCCCAAGCCGTTGTAGTTTTAGTGATAATAATATCTGAGTGAGAGGTCTTGACTAGTGAGGTCCATATGGTCAGGCGTGAGGACAAATACTCATCGATGGCATTGACTAGGGGTCGCGCTAGGAAATAACGAGTTGGTAGAAGTTGGAATTCATGGGCCATTGAATCGGATCCCAGTGGCTAGATGATTTATGAGCTTGCCTTGTAACCAGAAGGTCCTGGGTTCGAACCTCACTGGTGAATGCGTACTTCCGATGAGTCTCATGGTGTTAACTGAGTTTTCAAATCTCGATTTGCATAATATTGTTCCAAGGTGAGTATCTAAACCGAAAAATCGCATTCATTCTTCTGGGAAATGTGGACGGAATCTCGGGATGAATGCAGATTCTTCATACACTTATAGGCTTGCAAATTTTTCTACCATTTTGTGCCTATGCATTAATTCCTCTTTGTCGCCTAATTGTTTTTCTCTAAAGGACCGTGAATCAGCCTACCAAAGCTTTGCTACAAGTCAAGCAGGTATACTAATCACTACAGATGTTGCTAGCCGAGGTTTGGATTTAGCATCAGTAGCTTGGGTAGTGCAGTATCATGTTACCGGGGGTCCTGTAGATTATGTACATCGTGTTGGACGTACTGCTCGTGCTGGAGGTCAAGGTAAAGCACTTATCTTTTTAGAACCTGGAGAAACTGGTTTCATGGATCTTTTAAAGTCAAGAGTTGGAATGGAAATGAAAGAGATAAATTTATCTGATTTACTTCAGACTGTTCTTTTTCATCTACAAAATACCAAACGTCCTGGAAGACAAAGAGTAAGTCGTTATGTCCTTTTTGGGTTAGTAGTGGTAATTTAGTGTTTGATGATGGTATTCAGTTTATGGTGCAGATGTAAGTCGAGAAAGAGACTTGACTAAACCTAGTATAAGTTTGTTGTATGACTTGGTTCAACATAGGGTTTCAAGAGTAAATGGTCATTATCAAGGACAAGGCATTATATGCATCTACACAGCTTCATCTTTCTCCAGTACACTCTCATTTGTAGGGTTAAGAGCTATGTACCCGGAAGGTATGATCGAGAATGACACCTTAATTGAAAATAGCTATCCAGAAAAGTTAGTAAGAAAGCACTTGACTACAAAGTTTGCTAAGAAATGTTTTGTATCAGTGAGCAAAAAACCACTCTACATACGATTTCAATTTAAAGCTGACACACCAAGTGAATCAGTAAGCAACAAGTTCAAAGAACTTTTAATGTCAGTCAATTAATTGCAGCTGATATTTTCTACAGACCAGGTCGTGATTCTGAAATCGAAAGATGAAGTGTCTAGGCTAGCCACCTCTTTCTGTATCTGTGATGTCAGTCATATCGGTTGTTGTTCTAGAAACATAATTTTTTGTGCTTGGGAACACCTACCAGTGCAGTTAAACAGTGGTGTAGTAAAAAGCATTAACAGTTCGACATTGGCTCACCTAATCCAAGCAGATTATAGAGATAGTTTGTTCTCTATTTAATTCAATTTAGATTTTCTCATCGATTGATTGGACCGAAGTGCTCGGTCTAAATTAAATTAAGTGACTAATAAGACCCGTCACAGAAGAGGTATTGGGCTCTCGTGGCCCAAGAGGTCTGGTGGATAATGCTTTGGCTTTTGAAACTATGGGCTCTGGGTTCGAGTCTCGGTGGGAACACTGTCACCCACTAGGGAATGTAGGCATATCCAGATGACGAGTCCCAAGTGGGACGAAGTGTGCATCCTGGATTCCACTGCAAGTCATCATTCACTAACTGACTTCAAATAGTTTATTTTCGTTTTATATTTTTGAAACGACTTTTAAATGTAATATTGTTTCCTAAATCTATGTATTTCGTAAGAGACTATTGTTTAATTAAATTGCATAAAATTGTGTCGTAAGACATGCTAAAATTTCGAGATAATAATGGTAACTTCGATTCAGTAATTCTTAAGATGGAAATTTACTTTTGTAAAGTAAATTCGTCTTTTACGTTTGAGGTAACATCAACGATCCTGTCGAAAGGAAGATTACGAAAATTCCAGTATATCGCGTGAACACTATCCTTTATTCTAGGTTCATAGTCAGTGTGTTGGTTGACAAATGAAGCTTTTGAAACAAGTATAACTAAGAAACCAAATATAGAGGGAGCTAGTGAATCACACTTAGTTTTTATGCTCTGATGAAATTTTTCTTCATGTTTTCACCTTTCGAATGGAAGATAGAGTTTCAGGTTTTGAAGCTTCAGTAACCGTGGTACTGTTTTTACAGGATTGAGTTACCAGCTTCACACCCAACCTCGCTTCATTTCCATGCTTACTATAGGCTAATAAGCGAGGCGAGATTTGAAATTGTGTCAGCTGGGAATCGAACTCGGATGGCGTCTGTGGCTGGGTAAACATTCTATCATGAAGCTACTGATGCATAGTAGGCTAGTTGGCAACGCTTCGGTGTTTGAAATGATTGGTGCTGGTTTCTTGAGAGGTGGGGACGTCATCAGTCACTGAGATGCATGGCACATTCAGCTAGTGAGTTCGTGGTAGGATAAAATGCTTATCTTGGATTCTATTGTTAGCTACCGTCCAACAAATATAGTCATGTTAATCTCCAGACATCGTTGAGATGTTTGTATGTACTAAGGGCTGACATGTCAATAGGGACCAAGCATTTCCGTCCAGTATCATCAAATGCCTACTCTTAGGCTACAGTAATAGGCTGTATTCGAATTCATGATATACTCATTGTAAACGATTTTCTAAGTTAGTTAATCACAACTAAACAATCCTAAGTGTACGAGGCACTTATCTTACAGTTAAATTTCATGAAAAGTTAAATGCTGGTTAAGTAGTTTTTTCCGAGTTGATCACAGATTGATATTAGTTAGGGAACCATTGGAAACCAGATGGGGGTACTGGAAAGCCAGCTGTTTCATCCTAGTTTGGGAATCATCAGGAGTACGCACCCACCGCCGCCAGGATTCGAACCCAGGACCTTCCGGTTACAAGGCAAGCTCGTATAGCATTCAGCCACTGGGATCCGATTCAATGACTCATGAATTCTAACTTCTACCAATTCGTGATTTAGGGCGATCCCAACCATTGTCGTTGGTGGGACATCCATCCACTCACATACTGCCGATGATTCCCAAACTAGGATGAAACAGCTGTCCAGTAACTCCCTGGTTTTCAATGGTTCTCTAACTGATATCAATCCGTGATCAACCCGGAAAAAACATAACTAACCCTTACAAACCAAACTATAGAAAATTAAGTTGTTTTCTTTGACAAATTGAAAGTCTACTCATGGTGCATTCAAAGGAAAAATGATAACATACTGCTTGTTGCGTCACTCTTTTTTCAGGATTCTTCTGTCATTTTTTACATTTTTTTAAATTCGTGAAACAGAAAGATGACTAATCTACATAGTCATTTTTATGTACTACTAATAGATTATATTTTGTTCTTCATATATATTACAATGAACTTCTACATTTTATCTAGCCGGATGACTGTAAAACTGTTGAAGAAGGAACTAGTCGACTTTTCCGCTTGTTTCTTGAAGCTGTAGACAATGATGACACTTTAAATTCTCTTTCTGAATTGGCCTACATATCATTTCTACGATCTTATGCAAGTTTCTCTGGAGAATTACGACCTATATTCACTTTTAAACGTCTTCACTTAGGTCATGTGGCTCGTGCATTCTGTTTACAGAAAACACCATCTGATGTAGCTGCTCGAGTTAGAGGTCGTTTTATAAAATCTGATAAACAAGATCATACTACAGGAAGGAAACGAAAACGTGATGATGATGGTGATGATGATACAGGTGAAATAAATCCTCGAAAATCGAAGTAAGTTATTGTAATTCGTATTACTATATCTCTCTCTTGATATCGATGAGGTCAAGCGATGGTCTTAATATACTATTATGCATTTGAGTGATATACTGACTAACTTATGAATATTAATCTAGGACCCATCAGTGATCAACTTCTATACGAAAATCTCCTTAAGTTTCTATTAAGAAGTTATGACCGTTTGAGTTCATTATGTAATACGTGCGGACAGACACTCGTCAATGATGCTGAATGGTAATTGCCAATTGATGGAGGTTAGGATTGACAAACTAAATAAATGGTAACATGCTTGTCTCGTAATCTGATGACTCTGAGGTCATAGATTAAAAATTCTAAAGAGTCCTAGATCAGTGCTCCCTGAGTTCGGCTTGTGATGAAACCTGTGCTGGTAATAACTGTTTTACAATTATTCGCCATAGGTTATGTAGATCAGTTAGACTAATGGGGCTATGGTCACTTGGGTTAAGCATTCGGTTTTCGGCCACTATGTCCCAGGTTCGAACCTCACCACATCTTCTTTATGAACATTCGGGTAGTATGACTAGCCTTCATACAGTAACATGTGAGTCATATGAGGAATGGTGTGTAAACAATATCTTCTGCACACAACTAAGTTCTAACAAATCATTTAGGTAGGTGTGGGTTGGTGGTCGTTCCGAAGGCCAAAATAAATAACTAATATCACTGCAGATAAAGATGGAGGCAGAGGATTGGTTGATATAACTATCAGTAGTGCAGTCCCATAAGCCTCAAGCAGGATCTCTAATAACTTATTTTGTCAAAAAATATGCAGCAGGAGATAGAGATGGATTGGACGAGGAGACCGTCAAGTATTATATCCCATGCCCAAGTACACGAGTGGGACTCTAGCTAGAAGCGACGAGTTAGGTGTGGGTATGTGGATGACATAGAGGAAATCATTTAATGAGGCGATGAAAACTTGTTAGTTGTAATGGAGACAGTTGGAGGCGATGGCAGAGAACTGAGTGCAGTGGAGATATTCCACTCGTAAATAAAGAAATGAATGAATGTGCAGTAAATAGTACTGTAAGGAAATAAGGGTGTCTGCATTAGCGGTTCAGACGGTAGGGGGACATTCGATGAACTAGGAAGTTAGCAATTTCCCCCGCAAATCTTCGTCCAAGGTAGGTAGTGCGCGTCGCAGAAGACTTGTCAGCGTTACTGTGAGAACCAACGGATCGCCGTCTCGACCAAGCTTCAGAGTCCAGAACTTCTGCTGAGCCCCTTGTCTATCTGTGAGGCTGTCGAACTCGCACACGAGTCTGTCGACAACTTTGTCCCACGCCGCCTTACCTTTAACCTCCCGGGCGTCTTTGTAGGCAACCTTCGCACGGCCTCTCAGCAGAGTACCCAAAACGACCAGATTCGCCCTCTGCTCCTTCACTCCAACCATGTCTGCGACAGCTTTGAATTCCCTGAGGAATGTCCTCAATACTGCATTAATATTTATTTTAACAAGTATTTAATGTGTTACTCTGTTCCACTTGTTTTGGAGTTTGGCGACAAATTCGTACTAGCACATATTAATTATGAGGTGACACATAGAAATTAAAGATAATGGTACAAGTAGTAGCATTCACCATCTATGATTCACTTGTAGTTTGTATGAGGGCTGGGATACTACTCGGACGTCCAAACTGAAGAAAGAGGTTGTTTTAAGGAGCTACCTTCCGAGTCCTAGATTTGAGGTCTGACGCTCAAAACAGTGGAAAAGTGTTAGCAGCCGTGCTCCCATGGTTTCTGGTGACCAAAGCAGGTTCACGTGTCATTCAGTCCATTCGGATTTAGAAGCCATAGGGTTTTGATGCCACCCTAAGTAAACAGGCATGTCCACCAGTATGGTCGTGAGCGTCACACGTTCGCATTTGCTGCTGCGTAAAGCCAGTGAATTTGCATTAATGTCTGATCTTTTATTATACATTTAGAATAGAACAGTTTTGCTTCTACTTACTAATCAATACTTAATTTGTTACTCTATTAATGATGAATAGGTATTCAGCAGCTTTATCATTTGACGGACAGCCTTCAAAGAAGAAAACTGGGAAATTTATAAAACCCTCAGATTTGGCCAAACGTAATATGCTCGCAGAATATGGTTTATAATTTTCATGCCGACTACAACTGTACATTTCTTTTGTAATATTATTCTACCTGAACACTTATCATCATCATCATGCGTGTGTGTATATATATATAGAAGCGATCTGTGAATATTTCCCTTCTTTTTGTACAGATATATGCAACAAATTAAATAATAGTTTCTTCTTAATTTCTAATCTTTAAAAAATATGTCTTACATATTAGCGAATTATTGGCAGATAGTGGAGTTATCCAGAAACGCTATGTATATCTGTTACGATGGTCGTTTTCAGTGTTAGACAAAGGCTAATGTCTAATACAGAGAATAACTGTTCAGAATATAAACTCAAAAGACGGATTGAAAGGTGGGTAGATTTTACACTCTCTGGAACAAATAGGAATCAATCAATTAAGGGTGCAGTAATTATCATATAATCCAGTCTATTTTATGACACAAAATCTTTGTTGAACGTAGTGCAACATAACTAGTATGGGGATGGCTTGCAGTTGAATCCAGAATGTGGGCTCCATCGTATTCGTAACTCGTCATCTGGATGTACCTGCATCCCCTGTAAGTGATAGTGTGCACACCTGAGACTCGAATCTACCACTACCTAGCCGTCAGCAAATAAGTAACTTAGAGTGAGTAATCTGTAATGATATCTGTTAAAGGAGTCTGTTTGGCAATATGAAGCCGATGAATTCGGTCCAGATATATCAATGGGGAATCGAATGCATGAGTTTTCGGTGTTTATCGTCGGACTGGTGAACATGGAAATCTACCTGAGGCAGCTGAAGTACCTTGATTCCAAACATGTTGTGGTGCACACAGGTTTCAGAATCTAAAAGGATCCAATGGTGTGTGAATTCGTTTTGGTTGTCGGAAATCACAGGGATGCAGCTTTTGACTCCTTAAGCCAATATTTTAGTGCATATGGTATCAGACTAATACTCTAATGTATTGATCATATCTTCACCCTCCGACAGATTCTAGAACATAGGAATTCCTACCGGCGTCCAACAGTCATTATATTTCTTGACCTAAAGGCAGCATTCGACTCTGTCGATCGAGAAGTTCTCTGGAGATGCTTGGCTGTAAAGGGAATTCCAAGAAAATATATTGCACTGATTAAGGCACTCTATTCGTACTCATACAGCCAGGTGAGGGCTTACGGCGAGCTGTCATCTGAACTGATGACGACCAGTGGTGTCCGTTAAGGATGTCCATTATCTCCTTTTCTATTCAACTTCATCATAGATGTGTTAATGGACTTAACCCTAAGTGACTTCAGCGATTCAGGGATTGACTTGCTACCTGGAAATAATCTCGTTGACTTGGAATATGCAGACGATATAGTCCTTCTAGGCGGAGACGCTGACGAAATGCAGAGTCTTCTAAACACCTTGAACCATCAATTTGGGTCCCCCCCAAAAGATGTTAAGGACACCGCCTTTAAAAAAAGGAGGAGTGGAGAGTCCTTTTTGGGGAAACCACCCCCCAGGGGTTCTGAAATCCAAAAAAGGGGCTTTCTTTTTTTTCGCCCTGGGAGAGAGTTCATCACAAGGGGGGGTTCTCTCACCCCCTCCTCTTTTGGTGCGCAGGGGGAAAAAAAAATGTTTTTTATGGGCCTTTTTCCAAGGAATAAAGGACAAGGGTGGGTTAGAAAGGGGAAAAACAAGAGTGACCCGTGTAGTTTCACCCCCCCCCCGAATTGTGTGAGGGCGGGAAAAAAAGCGGCGGCGCAAAAAAAAGCCTCACAAAAAAACCATTGCAAGAGAGGTTTCGGGCGGGCGGAAAAAAAGAAATGGGCACACCTCGGGACTCCCTCCTTTTTTAATTTTTTTTTTTTTTTTTTTCTTCCCCCCTTTTTTTTTTTTTTTTTTTTTCTTTCTTTCTTGCTTCCAGGGGATTCCTTTTTAAAAAAATACTCTAATGACTGTCACTTAAGTTATGTTGGCCTTTTTTGAAGATAGGCTGGACAGCAGCTTCTTCCCACATTGATAGGACATCCTCACTTTTCTGACCTGTCTATTAGGTTTCTCGATTGTAGTTTCACTAGAATCTTTAAAAAGAGCAGAGGCTATGATGTCTCAGACTGGCGCCTTATGACATTTGAGTACTTCGAGTTTGTTTCAGATCTCTACTTCGTCTGTTGAATCGATATTAACTGATCATGGCGCACTGTGATTTATAATACTGATTGGTGGTTGTGTGAGCTAATCGCATGCCAAGCATACCATGATTTCTGTTAAAGATTGTCAGTGCACCTATGGTTAAATTAAACCAAAATTGGCGACAAGGAGCATCCCAGACGACCACCACCTCAGACGATAACTCCTCATAAGCCTTGAAACAGCTGCGTCAGCTCAAGTACAGTGCCTCGATTAGTGTGGCATTCCCTTCTAGGCCATACATTACCATAGTATTTCTCAGTCGACAGAATGAAATGCCTCCTTAAGAGAAAGAAATATGCCAAGTGCTGGACGCCGGTAAGTATGGCTGTGTTCTAGAATGAGTCTAGAGGTGAAGATATGATTAATGCAAGTTATTCGCAACTAAAGCCTACCTGTTTTTCACGCGTTTGTTTCTTCTGAGCACCTTTTGTCCACGCATGATTAAGTCTAGAATTTTAAATATTATGTTAGCCAAGCTAATCCCTTTTGATTACCACAGGAAGGCTTGTCTCTTTGGAGACTGGTATAATCAATGATTTACGCTCGTCTCAGATTCCTAGACATCACCTAATATTTCAGTCAAACCAGTCGATAGTTCATTGTCACCATTATTAAACACCTCTAGAGTCATTCCATCAGGTCGTGCTGCTTTACCTCGTTTCAAATTAGAGACAGCTTTTGCAACCTTAGTTTCAGTCGGGGGACCGATGCCCGTATTTCACTCAGGTAGGTGTTGAATGTTGGAAGAATTAAGTGTGGCTGTAGGCCAGCTGTATCACTCCTCTAATGTCCTCGTGGTTTATCCTGGCGGGGGGGGGGTAATTACAGCACTGCTTTTCTCAGGAATCGTTTTGCTTATCGACAGTTAACTGCCACCAATTCCCCTAATGAGTACAAAGAGTTGTCTGGTGTTACCTACTGCCTTTGCCTCGCCATCTGTTTGGTGCTCCGGAATCAGTCTTCCTGCGTCTATCATTCTGAGTGAGGCAGAGGAGATCTGGTGACATTTGCTAAGGATGAGTCTTGTTGTAAATCTCAGATACACGTTTAGTTATTCCTCCGCTAAATAAAGACTTCAGATAGCAAAGGTGCATTTGTTTCGTTGCTCAGAACTGCTGTCTATATCTATCTGTCAACGTGGGGTTCTCAAAATGTATTCAATATCTTATGCAGAAACACCTCAGGTAGAGTGAAAGCGGACGAGATCTTCAGGACACATGATTCTGTCGATTCAGTCAAGAATATTATCCTGGTAGATAAACTAATGTTCTCTTTAGCCTTTCAAAAGTTAACCAAAACAATGAAATTTTAACATTGTTTTTTATTACCAAGAAATAAGTAATATTGACAGATGTAATTAATTTAGGGTGAAAGTCACAAAATTACAGAAATGTAGGAATGCGTAGTACATAGATCATATTTATTGTTTATGTGTTAAGTCTGTGAAAGATTAAAGCTTTTGCATAGAATGTTTGTTGAATCCTCCTTACTTTTAAATTTCGATGAAAATTGTACACCAGAGGGTAGTCGCTAAAATATAAAGAAAAAAATTTTTCAAAAACTGGAATATAATCTAACACACAATAAATGTGATCATATTTTCAAGTATTGATTTTTTTCAGGATTTCATCATGAGCTGACATTAGTTAGAGAACCATTGGAAAACCTGGGAGTACTGGACAGCTGTTTCGTCCTAGTTTGGGACTCTTCATCAGTACGCACCCGCCGGGATTTGAACCGAGGACCTTCCGGTTACAAGGCGAGTTGTCCAGTACTCCAAGATTTTCCCATGGTTCTCTAAGTGATATCAGCTCATGACGAAATCCTCCAGCCTTATGTGATCATAATTATTTTACCCACTTTTCCCTGTGTGATCTGACTGACTAATTTTTCTTGAAGCAGCTGAAATGAAAGAGGTATTAATAATAGGCGACTGTTAAGCCCAAGAGACAACTGCTTGAGGTCGGCCACACACAGCCGTTTAAAGGTCTTACTGTCAGCTACGGACCGATGGAAGGTAAGTCGGGATGTATGATTTTCGAGATCAACCTTTTCTTACCCCAAACTTCAAAGAGCGGAGAAGTAGCATAGCTGGCTTGTTGGACACCTGAGAGAAACATCTTACTGCTGTGACATTCGTATTAGCCAGCAGTACAAATTCGCCCCAGCAGTAGCGTGAACAACTTACACTGTTGTGGTAACTACTGTTTAGTCTAAGCCCTGTCTAAATAACCTTTATGGGATGGTGGGACCTGCAGGAAAATTAGCTTTAGCCTGCTTGGCTCTTTGGATCCTTGCGATATGCAAGGATGACCAACACGTCGAGGTACCAGCTATCGATCAGGCCACGTGATCTATCAACATATATGTTTGTAAAGGTGAATGTGAAGCATAACTCATATCCTTTCTCTGTGGATTTTAACGGAAGTGAATGCTTCTTCTCTGATGAGTCCTTTCATTTTCATGTAGCTGGTGGACGATTTATACCAGTGTGATGGTAAGAATAATAGAACTTTCATATATAATCCTTTGTTAACCAATTGCTTATTAGTTAGCTGTTGGTCGGTATTATATCCCCATTTTCAGTACTAGTCTAGCTTCAGTAAATGTGAAATAAAATGTTTCTATTGGGGTGTAAAGCGTATCATGATACACACTGAATGTAGAGTTTAGTTTTGTGAGTCATTGACGAAAACTCTATTAGCCTAAATTTCAAACTTCTTAGCACTGGTCAGTGAGTTGAATTGATTTCACAAGTGAACACGTGAAGCAGAACAAGCCACAGGCAAAGGAGACATCGCAACACTCTACCAAACAACCAGTTTCTTATCGGAGAAGAGATCAACACAAATTAAGCCAGTGAATGATGATAATAGAAAGTCAGTCACCAAGGTGGTTGAGCAAACGGAACACTGGGCGGAACACTTCAAAAGACTTTTAAATCGATCGCCACCTACAACGCGCCCAATAATACTAACATCGGAGGCAGC